TTCTGTTGAATTATTTTGTGCTATCATCAATTTGTCAAAACATACATTTATTGCACTTCCATTTTTCAATAATATATTTGGAGGTGGTTATGTGCCATGGAGTCAGTTCCAATTCATAGTGACCCTGTATAGGGTTTCTGAGGCAGTAAATCTTTATGGGAGCAGGCAGCCTCATCTTTTTCTCCCATGGAGCATCTGGTCGATTCGAACTGCTAACCTTGTGGTTAGCTGCCCAACACGTAGCTACTACACTACCAGAGCTCATTGATATAGTCAATAGGTTCAGAATTTTGTATTGACTGTCATTTTCTATTAGGACTTTAAAAATGTCACTTCTTTGTCTACTGATATTACAATTGAAAAGCTGTCAGCGTTAGCACTGCTCCTTTGTTTATCCGTCTACTTGAATATTTTCTCTTTGTCATTGGTTTATTGTGATTTTTGAAGTTTTTGGTGTAATTATTATGCTCAGGGTTCATAATGTTTTTTAAATCTATGGTTTTGTCTCTAGTGTATTTTACATAACTTTAGGTATTATCACTTCAAATAAAGCTTTTGCTTCATCTTCTCTTCAAGAATTCCAATTGCACATACATTACATACCATTTTATCAGATTTTATCTGTTAAGTCGTTTCTATGTATTTCAACTTCTTCTCTCTGTGCTTTAACTTTCTTCTGACTTCACTTCCAAGTCACTAATTTTCTTTTCAATTTCTTCAGTTGTGTCTACCTTGCTGCTAAAACCTTCAATTGAAATCTTAAATCCAGTTTATGGGGGGGCTTCAAAAAGTTTGTGAAAAAATGGAATTAAACAATAATGGAATTGTTCCAAACTCTTTAAAGCCTGTTCATAAATGCATTATATGATTTCCTTCTTACCAACTTTGTTTTCCTTTAAATTACATGATTTCAATAAATGTAGATATTTTCAACTCTGTAGCTGAAACATTTTTTTAATTTGATCTTTGTTTAATATTGTATTATTTTATAGCAATACTTTTTAAAAATTATTTTTAAGTTTTTATTGTGAGGTTTACATGGAAGAACATCAGCTTTACACATATCATATTTCATTGCAATGATTACAATCCCCTCCATGCATCATCAAATAACCCCAAAGGGTACACCACACAGGCCTGCCCTCCCGCCCCCGGCTGCGAGAAGATAGCCCTTCTCCCTCCCTGAGTCTAGCGTCCCCAGCCGCTCCATCTGTCCACATCACCCTCTCTGTCTCCATTCCTGGAGTCACTGCCTCTCTAGGTAGGGTCCCGCTCTCTGCTCTTCTCACTTGATGGTGGCCCAAGGGACCTCCGCTCCTGGGCTGCAAAATCGATCACTCTCCTCCTTCCTTTTGTCAAAAAACATCTACCTCTATTATTTGCTAGCCTCACAGTCAGTCCTGATGGCAACTATTCACTATTGTACCACAGGAATCTTATCCCCATTTCCTTTTGCCACCCGGTCCCAACGGATTGGAAATCATTCAGTGGTCTACCTTCCCCCGCCCCATCTGGAACTAGGCTCCCTCTTGAAAGCTTGTAAGTCAGTCACTTCTTGCCTTTATAGACACCTCCATTTTGGATAGCCAATACTGAGGGGATGGAAATGAACCTCGTTGTAAAGATTTGTTCCCTTTTTTGAGCTACTAACATCCATAAGTATAGATCAAGTTCATCAAATTGTGGCAGCTTACTCTTTTTTTTTTCTTCACCCTCTTCTTTCTTCTTCTAGTCTAGTTCTGATCATCCAGTCATCAAAGCCAGGTCAAGTGGGTACTATCTGCAAGTATGGGTGTTTTTGTGCATCTCCCTTCACTTCATATCAGCTGGACTCTTCACTCTCCCCTCTAGTCCTCTGTGCCCAGGAGTCTCCGGGTCTTGCCTTACTGCTAGCCATTCAAGTCTCCACCCAGGTTTACAGGAGTCTATTGTATGTGGCCGGGCTTAGCTCACAATTTCATTGCTGCTTGTTCCCCCCCTCTTCCCTTATAGGTGACCAATGTGGTAACCAGCCAGACCACATGCCTGCTCATGAGTCTAAGTCTTGAGTCTAAGTCTTGGGAAGGGGTTTCCTCAGTCTTGCCTTGATGGCAGCTAAAAAATTTATTGTATCTTCTAATTTTTGTTTTTCCTTATTTTGGTTAAGATAAGTTACTTTTATTCAGTGTCACCATTATATATGGAAAGTTTTAAAGAATTTAAGGCTTCAGATGCTTCCTCCCTCTAAAGTGACTTCTAACCTGCAGGTAAATCAAGTACATCAGCAATCCCAAATCACCTTACCTATGAGAATTAAGGTCATTTTAAATTTAGGCTGGTTTCTGCAAAGACTAGTTTATTCACCCTCACTCCTAAGGTGCAACTCTTCTAGTTCCCAATCTCCAAACAACGGTTTTTGCCAAAATCCCTTCTCATCAACAAAGCCTTAACATTAGTTTTTTATCTTCCTCCAATCCCACAAATGTGTCCAAAATGCTGCTAAATTTTGCAGCCACATCCTCTGGAACTAGAAAATGTCTCCAAACACAAGCTTCCCTTCTCCATGCTAGTCTTTTCTACTGCATCTTGGTTTCCTAGTTCCTCATTTTATCTTAGTAAAATCAAACATCATCTTTGTCTACCTTTTCTAGCTTTTCTTAAAAAAAAAGAGCTAGTCCAAGTAAGTTGCACATTAATCTTTCATTCCTGAGGAATATTCATTTACTATTCACAAATTTTAACTTCACAGTTTCAATTCTGATAGTACAAGTTTTACCACTCAAGATTTGTCAAGTATCTTTCTCAATGAGGCCCTCCATCACCAAAGAATGGACTTCAGGGAAGACTAAAATTCCACACTTACACTGAAGAATTTTATAATGGTTTTAAGATAGAGGACCTGCCAAAGTATTATCAAGTTGTCTCATTTGCTGTTATGTTCAAGTGTCATCAAGTTGGTTCGGACTCCTAAAGAACCTGGCACAGGGTTTCAAAGGAATGGCTTATGAGTTTGCACCACCAACCTTGTCGTTAGCAGTTCAGTGCTTATCGAGAACTCCACAAAGGAATGTTGTATTGCCTATCAAATTATAAAATGTCAACTCTGGTACACACCTAGGACTTAAAAGTTTTTTACACTGTAATGCCCTCCAACGAAAGATATACCCCTTATCTAAAAATAAATGGAAAAAAAAACCAAAACTCTTGCTTAAGCTTTCAAGATAAAACAGTATCTCTAAAATTCTAATTATCTTTATTCAAAACTAGGTACTCAATCTCTATTCTGTGGGATTAACAATGACCAGAAAGTTGAGAAAAACCACTTTTATCAGAGAACTGTACTCTAAATCTGTTCAAAGACAACTTACCATACAGACTATAGGAATTCACAGATGAAAAATTAAACCATCCCCCATAGTTTTAACCAAACTCAAATCAGAGGCATTTTAAAAGTCATCTACTAATCTACTTCAAATTAATAATAAGTAATTTTCAAAAAACTGACAGGATAGCAAGATATAATGACAATCTTTAATAAGCTAATGTATCTAGGCACTCTACAAGAGACCAGAAGCCCTGATGGTACACACATTTAATCACTTGGCTTCTTACCAATACGCACCAGGGCCTCTCAAGTGGGCAAAACCTGGCCATCTAATTCCATAAAGATTACAGACAAGAAAACCCTATAGAGCAGTTCTACACTGTCATAGTGGGTCACTATGAATCAGAATCAAATGAATGGCACCTAACAATAGCAACTGAGAGACCATCAGAACATTTTGTTCCATCTAATAAAAGAATACATACTAATGTTATCAAGCCTCTATCTAGGTCAATGATCACGAAACTAAGGTCTTCATCAGACCAGCACTGTCAACAGCACCAGACAACTTGCTGTAAGTGGAAATTATCACATCCTACCCTAAACATACAGAATCTTTGGACCTGTAGCCTGGTAAACTGTATTTTAAACTCTTCCTCCAGGTGATTTTCACTCACACTTAAAGAGTACTACTACTATAGACCCAACAACAAACTTCCAGGAAATATAGAGGGACATGTTAAGTTATTCCCTAAGAACGCAATTGGCAACATCCAGTTCCTGTTTCCCAGAAACTAAAAGGGAATTCAACAGAAGGAGCCGGGGTACCTTTTATGTATTCCAGTTTATAACAATTCTTTGAATTTATAACAACCAACTGTGTTTTCTGTTTGGCTCCTTATTCAAACTAAGTAACATCATACCACTTATAAAACAATTGGAAGTTTGAATATCAACAAAACAAGTGTGATAATGGAGTTATGGTTGCTTTTTTGTTGTTGTTTTCTTTTTCAAATCCTTAACGTGTAGGGATACATACTGAAATACTGTTAAGTGCCATGGAGTCAGTTCCAACTCATACAACCCTGATTAGCGATTCCAAGGAGCAGCTAATGGGTGAGAACCACCAACAATGCAGTTAGTAGTCCAGTGCTTTTCCTACAGCACCACATATACTAAAATAAACATGGAAAAATAAAATATGAAATACTGAATAGGATTTGCTTTAGGGATACAAAGTGATGAGACTGTATAAGAATTGGCCATGGGTTTATGGATAGGGGTTCATTGCACTAGTCTGTCCACTTTTGTGTATGTCCAAAATTTCTCACCCAGTAAGCTGAAAAAACAAAAATATTCTATTTTCAGAAAATTTTTATCAACTTGAGAAAAATCCACACATTTTAAAATATTTTAAAAAATAATCTACCAATTTTTAATTATTCATCTACTTTAAAATAAACTTCAGTAAAATTAGTCATCCATTATATATAAAGCTCTAACTGCATTAGACTTCTGTTACATCACCTTTTCATTTACTAAGTATGACTGATTATATTTTCTCTTGACTAGTAAATTTAAAATATATCATATAATTAACTAGGTATCTTACAATTTCTCAACTCCAAAGAAAGGGTTTTAAAAGAAAATGGGATGATAACAAACACAAATGTGCAGAGCAAAGTTAGAAGTTTACCTGTAAAGATGTAATTGATCCTGTGTGTCCTTGCAGCACAGCAACTGGGGCACAAGTTCTTAAGCACCATACTCTAATTATTTTATCACAGCTCCCTGCAGCAATCATTGTATTCTCATAGTTTACTGCCATATCTGAAATTTCTGCAGAATGACCTCTTAATGTGGATAATAGACGGCCATTATGTGTTGACCAAATCTTTACCAAACAATCATCTGACCCCTAAGAAAAAAAGACCCAAAATAAACATACATCCACTAGTATAGGACAACTTTTAAATAATTTAAAGAAATCCTTTTAAATGCCACTAAAACAGTAGTTTTTCCTCTCTTTCTAACTATATGACACTCATGAATTAGAGTAGCACTTGTTCTCAAAGCAAAGAAATTCTACCTAAGGACACAGTGAAGTTATAATTGGGATGGGGTCAGATGACATTTTACTATTGTCCCCCAAATTTTCTGCCAAGTACTAAATCCAAGTAAAAGCTTATGGTTCACCTATTTCAATTAACAATGGTTAAGTTGAGTTCACACCAAATTAATCTGATGCCTGTAGGGGGCAGATCAGTATTTCACAGGCTGATAAACAATCCTCTCCCCCAAAGAACAGGAATTAGCACTCTCATTTTAAATAAACAACCAAGTATGAATTTATAGTACCAACCACCATCCATCCATTGTAAACATGAATCTCACAACTGAAAAAGAAATCTGAACTTCTCATACTAATTTCCCCTTGAATATTAAAATATTAAATAAATTCTCAATTTTTTAATTATTTGGAACACTGAAATACTTTTTTATATACAACATATGCTCTGGAAAAGTGATTAATCAGGATGAATGAAAGTCACCTAAGACTTTTATTGTTGTTGTTAATACACATGACAAGTTAATCTAATTCATTAGGTCTAGAATGGGTGTGATAGGTGATGCACTAAGTGTGCATATATTTTTCCTTAAAATTTTTAAAGCACCTTTGATGATAATATGCTTCAGAACAACTACTCTAAATTATTAACTTTCAAAACAGAGTACCTTCCCAACTGTCTGTCTGCATCTGAATCACTAAGGTACTTTGGGCCCCACATCAGACCACATGGAGTCAAAATCCCTGAGAAGGGAAAACTTAAAATTTACTACATAGTTTCTAAAATTCTCTCAATGATTCTGATGAACACTAAAATGCCCCAAATTAAGTTTAAAATTATTAACTCACTGTAAAAATTCTATGTCCTGTTCTATCAAATGCTACACAGTAAACAGCAGACAGGTGTCCAAGAATCCTTCTGTGCATTTTTAAATGCTGATACATAGTTCCTGGAAATGCTGTACTAAAAGTGAAACACCCTGTGAGTTGTTTTCCTCGATGAATCTCCACTAGGAAATAAAAACAATATAAAATGGTTAAAGGGGAGCCTAAATTTTACAAAGTAAACCAAAATATATATATATATTTTTTCTTTGTTGTTGCTAAGTGCCCTTAGAGTATATATTTTTCTGCTAATACTAACCCTATGTGATAAAGAACCTTCAGGACAGAAATTTCTTTCCAATTAACTATACTAATATAATTAGTAATCCACTACTCATCTGTCAGTTTGTCCTAGTGTGGCTTGTTTGCTGTGGTGATACTGAAAACTATGCCACTTGTATTTAAATTCCAGCAGTGTCACCCATGGTGGACAGGTTTCAGAGGAGTTTCAGACTAAGACAGAATAGAAAGGAGACAGATCATTTCTGAATGGGTTACACTGAAAACCTCATGAATAGGAAAACACGGTCAGAAGACAAGTCCCTCAGCTTGGAAAGCACTCAAAATATAACTGGGGAAGAAGTGCTCCTCAAAGTGCAGTTGGCGTGGATGGAGCAAAGGTCTTGGGACCTTCATTTGTTGATGGGGTACAATTCAAACTAAGAGGGAACAGCTGCAAACATTCATTAATAATCAGAACAGAGAATGTACCAAGTATAAATCCAGGAAAATTGGAAGTTGTTAAAAATGAAATGAAACACATTAAGATCTGGCATTACTGAGCTTAAATGGACTGGTATCAGCAATTTTTAATACAACAGTCATATTGTTTACTATGTCAGGAACGACACATTGACAAGAAAATGGCAGGGCATTCATCACCAAAAGGAACATTTCAAGATCTATCTTGAAGTACAATGTTGTCTTTGTTAGTATCCATATGCCTACAAGAAGACCAGTTAGTACTACTGTTCAAATTTACAGACTAACCATTAAAGTGAATGCTGATGAAATTGAAGAATTCTATCAACTTCTTCAATCTGGAATTGATCAAACAGGCAATCAAGATGTATTGATAATTACTGGTTATTGGAATGCAAAGGTTGGATCAAGAGTTGGAAAATAGGGCCTTGGTGATAGAAATAATGCTGGAGATCACGTGATAGGATTTTGCAAGACCAATGACTTCTTTACTGATAATACCTTTTTCAAACAACATAAAAGACAAATACACAATGGACCTCACAAGATGGAGGACACAGAAATAAAATTGACTACATCTGTGGAAAGAAGCTGAAGAAAATTAAAACAAGTCCACGAGCACCAAAATATGACTTTGAATGTATCCCACCTGAATTTAGAGATCACCTGAATAACAGATTTGATACATAAGACCCTGAAGACTGAAGAGCTGTGGGATGACATCAAGAACATCACTCACGAAGATTAACAAAAGGTCATTAATAAGGACAAGGATAAAGAATAAATGAAAAGTGAATTTCAAAAGCCTCTGAAACTTGTTCTTTAGCATTGAGAAGCTAAAGCAAATAGAAGAAATGAGAAAGTAAAAGAGCTGAACAAGAATTTTCAAAGGAGCTCAAGAAGACAAAGTATTATAATGAAATGTGTGCAAAGACCTGGAGCTAGATAGAAATCAAAAGAGAGAACATGCTCAGCATTTATGAAGCTCAAAGAACTGAAGAAAAAATTCAAACCTCTATTTGCAATACTGAAGGGTCTATGGACAAAATAAGAAATAACACAGAAAGAAGCTGAAAGGAAAAACTAATAAATAATGCAGAAAGAAGATGAAAGGAATACAGAGAGTCACTGTACCAAAAAGAAATGTTTGATGTTCAATTATTTCAAGAGGTACCATATGATCAAGAATCAATGATATTAAAGGAAGAAGTTCAAGCAGCATTGAAGGCATTGGCAAAAAAGGCTCCAGTGCTGGATCTGGAAGACAGCTAACTGGCCAATTAATTGGAAGAGATTCATATTTGTGTTCATTCCAAAGAAACAGAAATCATCAAACAATATCACTACTAAATGACTACAGTAGTACATTGACAGGGAAATGACATAAATCCAAGCCGAATTCAGATGACATGGAAAGGAGGATATCACTGCTAACATCAGGTGCTTTTTGGATAAAAGCTGAGAATGTCATAAGACGTGTACTTGTACTTTATTGAATATGAAAAGGCATTCCATTGTGGGGATCATAATCTTTGGACAGCATTAGGAGGAATGGGAATTCCAGAACATTTCATTGGGCTCATGAGGAACCTTTACATAGACCCAAGAAGCAGTTGTTCAAAAAGCACATAGGCAGTCATTAAAGATGTGCAACAGGGTTGTTTCTTTTCATCATATGCTTATTCAATTTGCATGCTGAGCAAATAATCTCAGAAGCTGGATTATCTTAAAAACTAAGGCATCCAGATTGGAAGAAGATTCATTAACAACCTGCGATATGCAGATAACACACCCTTGCTTGCTGAAAGCAATAAAGACTTAAAATACTTACTGAAGAAGATCAAAGACTACAGTTTTCAGTATGGATTGCATCTTAATGTAAGAAAACAAAAATCCTCACAATAAATAGTGTCATGATAAATGGAGAAAGTATTGAAGTTGTCAAATACTACATTTTGCTTTGATTCATAAGCAACACTCATGAAAGCAGCAGTCAAGAAATCAAACAACATGGGGCAAATCTGCTGCAGAAGACCTCTTTAATGTGTTGGAAGAACAAAGATGTCACTTTGAGGACTAAGGTGAACCTGAATTAACCCCTGTTATTTTTAATCGCCTCACATGCATGTGAAAGTTGGACAAAGAATAAGGAAGACCAGAGAAGATCAATGCATTTGATTTACGGTGTTGAAGAATACTGACAGTACCATGGACTGCCAGAAGGACACATAAATCTGTCTTGGAAGAAGTACAGCCAAATGCTTCTTAGAAGGGAGGACAGTGAGACTTTGTCTCCCATATTCTGGATATATAATCGGAAGGTATCGATTCCTGAAGGATATCATCCTTGGTAAAGCAGAGGATCAGCAAAAAAGAAAGCCTCAATGAGATGGATTAACACAGTGATAGCAAAAATGGTCTCAAACTTAACAGTTGTGAGGATGTCACAGGACCAGGCAGTATGTCGTTCTGTTATGCGTAAGGTCATTATGAGTGGAAAACAAATAGAAGGCATGTAACAACATAATCAGTAATACAAACTTCTTGCAAAGATAATATGATTTTTTATTAATATTTTTTTTTAGGGTTTACTTTAGGAAAACATAAAATCTGAAATTTGACTTGTTACTATTGAAGCAATAGTACCAGTATTTCCTTTTAAACTTTACTGTTGGCATTCATAAAGGAGCCCTGGTGTCACCATAGGGTAAGCACTGGACTGCTAACCACAGTTAACAACTCAAACCTCCAACCACTCATTGGGAGAAAAACAAAGCTTTCTGCTTCTGTAAAGATTTAAACCTTAGAACCCCTATTCAGGGTTGCTATGAATTGAAATCAACTTAATGGCAGGTTTGGTTTGGGATTGGTAGCATTCATAACATCACTCAAGAAACTAAAAGAATGATTTCAGGCATCTGAAAGCCCAACCTCACTTACCAAGATTTGGTGGGGAACCATAATTCACGGGCATTTCAGGTGGTCTTCCTCTATGAAGAGCAGCAAAGGCAGAGCCCTTCCAAACTGTGTGCCTGCAGTCTTTAAAATGAATTTTAGATACACATAAAATCTTGAAAGTCAACCCCAAAAAAGATTTTATAGAGTACTTACGTATATTGTAATAAACGGTTTATTCAAAGTTTTACCAACTAATATACTTTTAACAGAATAGCCCTGACGGTTTATTAAACTATTTCTGAAGAAAAAAAAAGGAATTTAAGACATCTCAGATACAACAGCAACAACAACAACTAACATTTGTGCAGCACTTTACAATTTACAAAGTGCTTTCCAAATACATTATCTCATTGAATCCTCACAACAACCCTGTGAGGTAGGTATTATCACCAATTTATAAGTGAGGTAACTGAGGCTCAAAGGTTCCAGGACCTTCAAAGAGATCCACTGCAAAATAATAGTAGGGATGGACCATAAAAACAGATCTTGACTTAATGTCCCAAAGTACATTTTTGTTCTTAATGCAGAATTATGCCATATAATATCTAAGATAAAAGGCCTTAATCACACCTTATTCAACTTTCCAAAATGGAAAGCTTTAGTTAAGAAAACTTTTATTTCTTTGATGCATATGAAAAGCTTAACTTACATAATTAGTTTAAGTGGTCTTCAGCTTTTAAATTAGTTTTACCACTACTGCCATGTCTTTAATCTTAAGTACTGGCCAAGTAAAATTAAATGGCTCTCTTCTTGCTTTAGGATCAGAGAATCTTATACATAAAGTACTTATGTAGGATCTGTGTTTGAACCCAAATCCCAAGGTCCCATTCCTCCTTGACCTACCAACAAATATACGAAGAAATATCACCTGTCCTCCTCTACAGGAGACAGTCACAGAACCTAAGTTATAAGCAGTCATGCTGTGCTAGAAATTAGATTCTTCAAAGCTGAAAGAGGAAGGGAGGGAAGGAGGGAATCATACTAAACCTCTATGAGCCTCGGGTGCCCCAAACTAACAGGTATGTTTTACATGAATGGATTGATTACCACTATCATGATCAAAGAGCAGTTACAAGGCATCCTCTTACCACACTATTACAAAACAAACACAAATATAGCCCCTACCCTAGGCCATCTTGCTGCATTTTATCAGTGAAGTCTTCAAAGGTCTGCCAGTTATAAAGCAGTGCTCATCACAAAACAACCACATTGAGCGTTGACACAAGGAAAGAAAAACAGTCTACC